AAAATTATCAGCATCAGTGCATGACCGACTACGATTGTTAACGACAGTAAGGAAATTACAGAAACTAAAGTTATGCATTGGCCTTTTCCATCCTCCACGGGACCCTTAAGCATTGTCAAAAAAGAGCATATTATTTATAATGCAGTAGAAATGGTCTTTCAAGTCGGTGGATTTTCTGATGCCGCCGTCTTCGGAATAGCATGTCCAATTACAATCAGATTCCACTTTACGTGGGTGATTTTCTACCCTCGTGACGACTATCACACTGGGTTCTATTCACACTGGACATTAATCTTATTCGAGTTGTTGCCAGGCAACCACATTTGAATTCCCGACTCAACTGAAAAAGGAAGACGCAGGTGTTGTGGATTCGAATTCTCGAGTGAGGCGCTCAACGCTCGGCTACATAACAGGCCTATCAAAGCCCTGAATGCTTTTTTACAAAATCTGAGTAGCATTGTCTTTTTTGATGATGCTAGTAGCTATACTCCGCTTTCAGACCCAAACAAAAGCAAAAGTGAGCTTTTTGTTTTGATTTCAACGGATTACAGAGAAAAATGTACAGTTTACATGTCAGTCAAATACACATATAGTTCCAAAGTTAAGGCAAAATCGACTTAAGCATTTGTTTCTTCAAAGAAACAGAATTATGTCCGAAAGAAAGGATATTATGAACATATGTTTGTCAGGAATGATATGTCCTCTCTGCAATATATTAACACAATGAATCAAATATAACTTTTAGTCTCATTATATCACGAAATTAAAAACAAAAGTTTGTTTTAAACATAGTTACACGATTTTTTTACACGAACGGCTATTCCTTTTTTACGCATGAAGCCGGCTACCCCATCCCGCGCCGTGTTTTGAAAGATTTGAGTTTTGCGTGATTTTGCGGAACGATCGTGAAATCATGTAGAAGGAATACCTTGACCAGAGCAGCGACCATTTCGGAGGATTTGGGGCTCAACAAGGTGAAATTTCACCGACCCCCCTCTTTGAATGTTACTTCACTGAAGTAATCCCCCCTAACAACTTTTGATGACTTTTGCGATCCCTCCCCCCCTCCATGTCTTCATTTTCCAAACAAATTTTAGTGGTCCCCCCTCTGAATCCTTAGAAAATTTTCAGCGATCCGCCCTTTTGGGTTCTTAGTTACGACTGATCCCCCCTTTTGTTCTCCCAAAAATCAAGTGATTCCCCCTAAAATCCTCCGCCCCCCCCCGCCCACCGGGCGATTAATAATGACCGGTCCCTCAACAACAACAACAACAACAGCAATATCAGACACTACTGCAGTACGTGATATGCTCTTGAAAATGATGTTAAAATTGCAGAGTGCTTGCTCAATGTCCAATAAGAATAAAGGTAATCTGGCTAAAGCGACTTTTTGGCAACCTCGTCCCCAGGGCTTTTCCCTCAAAACCCATTTTGGAGGGAAAAGCACTGGGGACGAGGTTGACTTTTTGGGGTTCTTAAAATTTCATATTTACCCGGCCAATTCGCATGATTTATGACCCACGATCGTTAGTAAGTGTATTGTGTGAAAAAAAAAAAAAAAGAGAGAGGGAGGGAGAGAGAGAGAGAGAGAAGGCGATAATAACTTTACAAGTCTACATTCGCATGGCGTTGTAAATTTCTAAGCCTGTAGATGACTCTCTTTAACTTTTGTGATGGGCCAACTGATATTTGTCTGTTTCATTTCTCTTCATTTGCAAGAAAGTACTTCTGACTGATAAAGGAATGTGAGCAAGAGACTTGAGCCAAATGACACGCTCAAATTAAAAAAGCAAAAGGCGAATGAACACGTCAAGCGACTAAAAAGGTGAAAGTCGATTTATAAATATTTTTGGATCACCGGGTATACACGTATATTTTCTTTTTCATATTATTCTCTCCAATCATGCTAGGACAAGTATTTTGAAGTGGCCGGCGGACTTAACCATAGTAAGAAGAAGAGACTGGCTGTGAATGGAGGCAAACATCAAAGATAAAAACAACGGTTTTGCAGTTTGTGTTGAAAACTCTTGTGACGTTCAATTTTATTGGTCAATAAGATCAAGATAATAGGAATGCTATTTAAATGTGCGACGTCTGGAACATAAAACAAAGGAGTTTGACAGGCTACATAATCATTCCATACATAACTTATCAAAAGTATGCTTGGGAGGGTTTCATGATTATCATAGATCATCGTCATCTCATTATCGTGTTTAAGTTGTTTTTCACCATTTAAATAATACTAGGGAGGAACCACTTAAGAAGATACAATTTTTCCACCATCACTCAGTGACAAAGAAAATTTGAATTGCGTGTATAAATCTATCCTCCTCGTGAAGACTAGAACTGATCTACCCTTATCGTGAGGAAATAGACCCTACAAATGAAGGTTCCAGACAGGCTTTATTGGAAAAAACCTTTTGCATTTTTTTTTCATAGTTTCATTTAAATTGTTCTTGATCACACGTACTGTAGAACGTTTTCCACGTGATATAGAGCTATGAAGTTCCAAAATTGCGGGGTATGCGGTGATGTGAAGTAATTTTGTCAAACGATGCCATCGTGTACCTTAAACCGCCTTTAATACTTAGATACAAACGTTAATTTTTTTCTCCCTCTCCTGATTATTATTATTTTAATGTCCTGTAGTCAACTTTATTCCTGAAAATATTGCGGAACGACGAGGACAGCCCAATTCGAATTGCCTAGCCCCCATTTCATGGAAAAAAAATTTGCCGGAGTTATTGGAGTAACCTTTCAATTGCGTTTTTCTTCGTCTCCTCCTAGTCTATAAGAAGAGCAGGACGCTCAGGGTACATTTGCATCCAAACTTAATCCTTTTGTTTGTCCTTGCTTTATCGATCCTCCAGTCTCTTATCCCTATTCTCTTCTAATAAGCAATTAATTAGTCTGAGGCGCCAAAAAATAAACCCATTGAGCATACATCAAGGTTATTCCTTCAGTATCGTATTGCGCATCCTAATTGCGCTTTTCGCGCTTGGTTAGCACGCATAAAAAAATATGGCAGCTTTTGCTTTATTGTCGGAGCTCGTCAGAAACGTATTCAAAAACACGCACGGGTAAATATAATCATATTAATATTGTAAGGAATTATTACAAGTGCTGCTGGTCCTAAAAAAGTATGAAGACCCCCCGTATTTATTTCAAACTTTAAGTTACTAAAAGTTAAACAACTGGTACGCATCGTTTGACAAAAATGTCACTGCGTGTTCTATTTCAGAGGGCTAGGATGAAGAGAGATGGAAGTAGATGCACTGAAAAAGGAAACATTGCTTTAAAAAGAATTTCATTCCCCTCATTTACAGTGTTAACATAATGACAATATTTTTTATCTTGCTGAAATATGTGAAAAGGAATCAGATCGGTATGTGGCATCGAACGTCTAAAAGAGATGAAAATTGATTAACCCCAAGCCTTTAATGAGCTTGTAATAAAGATTGGGAAATAAACCGAAAAACTAGAAAAAAAAAAATACCAAAACCAAAGCTGAGTTCGCTTCAAAAACGCAAGCTTGGTTTCACAAAGCTAAGGATGAGATGAATCTCTTCGGGAGCTACTGAAAGCAAAACTTCATCGTTTGTTTTGAACATCTAGAGGGCTGAAATCCAGCTTTCCAGTGATTCTTTGTGAGTTTCAAAATAATTTTACAATGTTTGGACTTCCGAGTTTGCTTACCACACAATCCACTTGTTGAGGAAGTAATTTAAAAAAATCGTGCTTGGGTTCACTGGATTCCACAAGAAAAGCTGAACAAAAATTGAAATGGACACCCAATGAAACACTTTTAATGGTTTTTGAAATCAAATTTGCTTCAGTATCACATTAGAATGATTTTCAAAGATGAGGGAACTATTATATTATTATTCATTTATTTTTTTCATTTAGAGAACATTATACCAAAGATCTCTTTAGTTAATGAGCCACCTTATAAAATGGCAAAACCAGCTTTACTGTGCCCTGGGTACCAGAGGGTTTTTTTTTTCCTCGCGTGCAGTTGGATGCTTCGGTGTCGGCCAGAGGCCGAAGATCTTCGGTCGAAGGCCGGTCGATCTTCAGTCACGCGGGTCACAATTTAAAGAGTTGTCTGAAACCGAAAACCGCGCATGAAAAGTCTCTGGCACCCACGGTAGAAACGCTATAAAGATGTAAAAAAAATAACTACCTGAATACGAGAATTCAAAGGTGCGTTTGATTGACCGTACTCCAGACAAGAGCATGAGAGACTGCTTCAGTTTCCTGAATACGTATGTTTTCTACAACAAAAGATTTTACAAAGGTTAATCTACCCTATGCAGGGTAGATATTATAGGTTTTGTCACGCCCCAGAGTAATCCTTGTTTACTTTTTTCTTCTTTCAGATAATTCACAATTCGGATCGCGCACGGAAGATCAAATAAGGTTCTTGAACGAGCTTGGAATTTGTATACAGTTGCAGGAGCCTATCAATTTGATGGGTTCCTGACAGTTGTCAACTTTAGCGAATGTTCATGTGAGAAAAAAGCTGACCCCTTTGCTCGAGCCATAAGCGCCCGCGCATGCACTAATTGTATTGCCTTGACCGAGTTGACCCAAGTGGGCAAGCCAAAGGGTTAAGTAAACATAAATATGGAGAAAAGTTGGCCGGTTAGGAGATGACCCGCCTAGGTGGGGGTTGGGGGGGGATCAACCTTTTAGCCGTCGAGCCAAATTTTTGTTTTTTCACGAAAAGCGGTTCGTCAAGTTTTGTAAGGAAATGTAGGAAAAGTTGGCTCGCCCGTGCACCGGGTAGGTGAGTTAATCTTCGACCACGGACAAGTATTCACCTGATATTTTGCAGAATCCGGGACGGTTAATCAAACGCACAACCACTACCGTAGAAAAAAGTTTTAAACAAGTAAAAACGACTTAATTTAAAGATGGCCAGTTAAGCCAAGAATAACTGTTTACCAAGTACATAAAAAAGAGTGATTTTTTTGTTTTGTTTTCCGAGGTAATCGAACTTAAACAAGAATTTCATAGTAAACTTCCACCTCCTCTGGGCTGAAGTTCTGATTTCCGGTCCAGATATTGTTATCACAATAGGGACTAGTATACGAATAGCAATAACAGTAAGAGTTATGATTGTATCTTGCATTATCTGCAATGTACAAATCATGACCCCCTCCAAAGGTTGGACCATAGCCATAGCTGCTGTATGTGGCATAATAATAGTGGACGTTGACGTCCTTTTTAAAGTAACCATATCCGTAATAGTTTTTCAGCGAGTATATGAAGGTGTTGGACGAGTATTGGTATGACTCTGAAGACCCTGAAGAGAGACATACATTATTGTTAAAAAATGCAGAACAGGTCCTTGCTTGAGTCTTAACTATCACAACAACGTTACACAAGCACGGTCAACACTGTCAGCAACAATAAAGTCCTATGTATACATCTTCAACTCCGACACTCAAGCTCCAATTTGATGACCACGAGGTCAGTGAAACTACTCTCGTACATGATAGTCTATGACCTCACATGGTAGAAGAATAGACCTCATTAAATTATTCTCTAATGACATTAACAAACTAAAGTTGTTGTTATTGCTTGTTGTTTATTATGAATTCAGATACAGGGTAAAATTGCTTAATCGAAAAGAATTAACCAAACAGGAACTTTCATTTGTGTAAACAAGTGCAGAAGAACAGAAATATTAGAAACAGATATTTTTCATTCCGTAATAAATATTCTGTTCAAAAGGTTAAAATTCGATGAAAACTTCGATCGGTAATGAATAACTACAATCGTTTTCTTTCCCTCGATCTGTCAAAGTGACGGTTTATTTTCCAAATTATTCGTCAATAATTTATACTTAAACCGTGGTCAAAAATGGAGTATGTAATGATTGCAAACTACTCCTCATCTTGTTATGGGTAGGAGTAAAATTTATAAAACAAGGATCTTAAAATCATTTAGTACGGTAACTAGTAATAACCAAAGTTTACGGAGTGCGGGCGACAACAATCGAAGGTCAAAACGCTTTTGTTCCAGCGCTGTGCTTTGCGTAAGTTTCACGTGACAGATGGTCAAAAACGCGCGTGATCAGATTTCGAGTGATAGAAGGTCCAAACACTCTTGATCAAATTGCGTTCTGTGCATTCCTTATATTCTTAGTGGAAGTCCAAACGAATGCGACGAATGCTGGCACATACATGCGACGTATGCGTAATAACAACCTGGACATTAGGATTGCGGGCTCCTCTTGTCGCCCGCAATAAAGATTTTTTTTTCTGTTAAGGTGGTTCGACTGGGTTTTTTAGGGGGGATACCTCCTAAGTTTGAGCATTAACTACGCTGGCATGAGTAAAGATATGGGAAAAAGGTTACCACAACTGTATTATAATAAAGATGAAAATTTCTTATGATCTGGGTTTTATTGCAATCGGAGTCGCCATGGTGACGTAATGACGCCATTACGTTTTTTATCTATCTTTGTGTTTCTCTGTACCAGGAGCTTTTTTTAAGAAATCGCTTAAGTGAGTATGTACCTGCCATAATTGCCTCAATTATGGCAAAGTTTGAACAAATTCTATGAGAGCGTCTTGGAAATATTTTGAAACGATGTTGTAAGAGTCATGAAAACAGTGAAATAGCATGCTATCCACACAATTAGCTAATATTTTAAGAAAATGATAAGATTTAGAAATGCGGCTTCATCTCATAGAGGTTTGATTCCATTGAAATCTGCGTACAAAAAACGAGGGGAATTGCTCTGGGCGAGCGCGAGTTAGAAGAATTTTATTAGCCTGCATTCAGTTGCTTTTGTTACATTTTTTGCACGTAATTTGGTAATGAAAACAGTGAAATAGCATGCTATCCACACAACTAGCTAATATTTTAAGAAAATGATAAGATTTAGAAACGCAGCTTCATCTCATAGAGGTTTGATTCCATTGAAATCTGCGTACAAAAATCGAGGGGAATTGCTCTGGGCGAGCGCGAGTTAGAAGAATGTTATTAACCTGTATTCAGCTGCTTTTGTTACATTTTTGCACGTAATTTGGTCCATGTCTACACAATAACGCATTATTCAAAAAAACTGCTCGATAATTTTTTTTATAAACTTGACAATCACGAGATCAATTGTCTCAAGAACATTAAAAACAGGGAAGGCCTTTAAATATAGCCTCAAATATAACGATTTTTTCCCTCAGAGTTTGTGTTTACAAGCGAGCGTTCTCATTATTCACTGGTATTGTTTTCAAGTTTCATATACACGTGCACAACAAGCAAAAGAAACAAATTTGCATAAAAAAGAACTCTCGATTACTTTCCGAAGAAATATCAGGGGGAGCCGAACGGTGAACGTCACGGCTCATCGTGTAGGATGCAATACTTAATTATCTTACTCGGGTTATAGCATCAAAGAAATCCTTTACCCTAATTTCTTTACCCGGTTATTAGAATATTCTGAAGATTTTTTTGGAAAGCAACCGAGGGTCCTGTTTTATGCAAATTCAATATGTTTGCTAGTTGTACACGTGCATATGAAACTTGAAAACAATGCCAGTGAATAATGAGAACGCTCACTTGTAAACGCAAAATCTAAGGGAAAAATTGGTTATATTTGAGGCCCTATTTAAAGGCCTTTCCTGTTTTCAATGTTCTTGAAACTTGCAGGGTATAGCTATTGACGATTGATCTCGTGATTGTCAAGTTTTTAAAAACTGTATCGAGCAGTTGTTTGAAAATGGGAAATTTGTAGGCATGGACCAAATTACTTGCAAAAAATGTAACAAAAGCAGCTGAATGCAGGCTAATAACATTCTTCTAACTCGCGATCGCCCGGAGCAATTCCCCTCGTTTTTTGTACGCAGTTTTCAATGAAATCAAACCTCTATGAGATGAAGCCGCATTTCTAAATCTTATCATTTTCTTAAAATATTAGCTAATTGTGTGGATAGCATGCTATTTCACTGTTTTTATGACCCTTAAAACTTCGTTTCAAAATGTTTCCAAGACGCTCTCATAGAATTTGTTCAAACTTTGCCATAATTGAGGCAATTACGGCAGGTACATACTCCCTTAAGCGATTTCTTAAAAAAACTCCTGGTACAGAGAAACACAAAGATAAATAAAAAACGTTATGGCGTCATTACGTTACCATGGCGACTCCGACTGCAATAAAACCCAGGTCATAAGAAATTTTCATCTTTATTATAATACAGTTATGGTAACCTTTTTCCCATATCTTTACTCATACCGACGTAGTTGATGCTCAAACTTGGAAGGTACCTCCCCTAAAAATCCAGTTGAGCCACCTTAAGATGACATAATGGTATCTGTTTATCATTGTTACGCGGGGTGACAGCTATAACAAGGGCTGTTTCGGGAGTTATTGAGCAAAGATTTGATGTTACATGTTATCCAAATTAAATACTTAGGTATCCATATTGACAGCCACCTATCCTGGCATGACCATATTGACTATGTTTGTGATAAAGTCAGTAAGAGTATTAATATTATGACAAAGATAAAAAGTTGTCTAGGAAATCAATGTTTAACTAGTATTTACTATTCTCTTGTTTACCCATATCTCATATATGGTTGCTTATTGTGGGGAAATAATTAAGATAATCCATTATCACAGCTCATACGTCTACAAAATAAAGCAGTTAGATTAATGAATGACGTTCCTTTACGAGATCATATCACTCCTCATTATGTTCATCTAGGTTTATTAAAATTTCGTGATAGTGTTAAAATTTACAATTGTTTGTTTTTATATGATTATGTCTCTGATAATAAGCCGTGTAATTTTCCATTATTTCTTGTATCTGAGCAACACAATTATTTTACACGAAGTGCATCTGCTCAGCAATTACACATTCCCCACTTAAGAATTAATATTCGAAAGTTTTGCTCTACCGTCTTGGAAAATACCATTTGAACGATCTCCCCCTTTCTATTCGCAATAAATCATCGAAAATCCTGTTCAAAAAGGCACTTAAAAAATATTACCTTGCTCAATATTGAGTTGTGTGCGTGTGTGTGTTCGTGCGTGTTTGTGTGTTAATGAATAACAAAGCTATATAGAATAGAGTCAATCTTGTTAAAGGACCATAATTAGTTTTCTATAATGTGCCCTTCTCCATTCTAATTTTCTTCTTTTATTATTATTATTATTATGTACACGTAGTTTAAGCAACTTTGTATTAATTGACATTGTACGACTAATGTATTATCTATAGGATGGAGTAAAAACAAAATACAAATACGAATACAAAGTCACGAAGTCACGCCAATGAAAATAAGCATAAAAATGACAATTGATTTAGAGCACATTTTGGACAGAATTTTTCCTCTCAGAACACTAGAAATGGCGTTTCAGAGCACCAAGATTTCACAATTTTCTGGGGGAACATGCCCCCAGACCCCCTAGTGGCCGGCCCCTCCAGCGCTCGCCTGATTAGTCGGTGATTAAAAAAAAACCCACACGATTTTATATACTTAAAAAAAAGTTTCTACTCCACTAAACGAAAAAAATAACTAAGGTTAGATAATTAACAAGTTACATAATTAACAAGAAGCTGCAGAAAATCTCTAATTAAAATTATAATTTTAATTGTTGAAACAATTTTGGGAAGTTAAACATTAAACATGGGAATGCCACGGAAAAAATTCGGGAGGGTCTTCCAAATTTCCGTGAGGACATAAAATTATTCATAGCACTGCCCAAACAGCCTTTGTTAGAGTTGTGACCCCCCCAATGTTACAAAAAGACAGGAGGGTTGTAAAACAGACCCTTCTTCCTCATCCTAGGTTTAAGACATTATTTTGAACAAAGGACGATCATGGCGCCATGCTTACCATATTTGAGAACTTACCTTGCCATATGAATTGTCGTTGTAACCTCCGAAAATATAGCTCCCAACCTTTACAATGGTAACAGTGGCTCCTTTGTTATCGCAACGATTGTGAAAGGTCCGTGATCTCCAACCGTCAACGGAAGCTCTGTAACACAGTTTCCAGTAACTGTAAGAACTGCGTAACTTGGGACTAAGCCAGGAATTTAACTGCGATATCATGCTAGCGTCATTGGCTAAAACGAGAGAGTCATCAAGGCCTAGAAAAGACAGACCCAAAGATTATTCTTTAGTGTAATAAAACAATGGAAAGTACAAAAAAAAAACTTAGCTAGACAACACCAGCCCCCCTCCCCCAAATAAAGAAAAAAAAAAGAAATAAAAAATACACATACAAGACAACAAAAAGCAAAATATCACTCTGAGTAAATGAGCTCGTGTATTATAGGTGTTTCGAACAATTATTTTTAACTTAGGGCTTACTGCCCGCGTGTCTGTAAATTTAACATTTCGGAACATACTCCCGCCCGATGCAGGGAGTGCATCAACAAAGTGATAAACAATGTATCCAGCAAGTTCAATCAAGTTCAGCAGCTAGTTCAGCATCACAGCATCGACTGGGCGACGAGTAAGACTTCCAGATGTGAGTCGCAAGGTAATAGACGAGATAAAACAATCTCGACCTGGATGGGTGCATGGCTTCCACACGGGCACGCTGCCACTGGCCGCGGGCTGAGTGATCTTCGCTAACAAAGACCAAGTCATCTTTATGTATCTCGCGCCCAACTGTAGACCATTTCTTGAGGGATGTCAGAGACTTCAGATACTCGGCATGCCAACGCTTCCAAAAACCATTTACAAGTCTCTGATAATAATGAAAACGTTTGGCGATGGCTCTAGAAGTGTGTTCCGTAACATGGGTATCTTTTGTTTGAGACGCTTGAAGATTTTTGCAAATTAGGATCTTTGCGGGAGTAATTACGCTGTAGAGGACGACTAATCAGCTGTGTCTTTCTTTATATACACTCTTCGTAAAACCCACCCGACGATAGGGATCTCTCAACAATAAACTTTCCCTGAATCTTCCTTTCGGACAGTGTGACTTGCAACCTCGTTCCCAGGAGTTTGTGCGACTTGAGTTTTGTCAGCTTCAAGCACTCTCAAACACTACTGTAGATTTTTGTTAGCGGCGTTGAATGTTAACTTCGTTGGTCAGCATTGAGAGGAACGTTGTTAAGGTCATAAAATGAAGCGGAAGAGCGCTGCAAATAACCCACAAAATTAACATTCATGCGTTTATCAATTTCAAAAGAAAATAAATGACTGTCCGCTTACGGTGATGAGAGCACGTCTTCCCGTCGCCATAATATAACGCATTTCCGTCGCACGTGCAAGTAAATGACCCTCCTGTATTGTTGCAGATTGCATTTGAGTCACAGTCGTGAGTTTTAAGCGAACACTCATTCACATCTGCAAAAAATATAACCATGTTCCGTATGAACCATTTTCACTGATGAAATTCCACAGACCACGTAATATACAAAAGTTAGTAATACGAAGAGTCGAACCGGCTGATTGTAAGTGCAAGAACTATAAGGAAGTCCTACTCCCCGTGATAGGTCAAAATTAGATAGGTGACAATTGTCCATCACTAGCAACCGACACAGAGGTGAATAACTGTTTTAGTATATACTAAAACACTGAGATAATTGAGCACAAAAATGATGGTTTTTAACTCATTTTATACTGTTGCAGACGGTTACAATTTTGGCACCAAATGACCGAACGGCCACCGCGTTTTCTTGCCGACAAATAAAACTCTTGAAAGTATTTGTTTGGCTATTGTGGGGAAATTTGTTCAAAAGGAGTTATGAAGTCTTTTTGTGTTTGAAACCCTTTTGGTTAAACAAACTATTAAAAGCTTATTTATGAACATGTCATGTAAATAAAGTATTAAACTCACGACGTAATCTGCATTTGTAAACAAAATACTCTTTCACAACGGTTTCATCAATGTCATCGATGAATTCAAGTGAAACAGACAAAATTCTACTTGTTAAAGTTTCCAAACCGAATTTCTTCACTTTCTTCGTGCATTTCGGGAACAGCTTGTTAAATTATTTGTGAAATTTCTTTGTTTGTTACGGTAGCAAACCGGGAAACCGTTTTGCTCGTAACTTACGCGAGTTTGGCGTCGCTCGCTCACGGGATCAGTGAATAGCACTGGATATCCCGACTTTCAGAAGCCAATCAGAGTGCGCGAAAAACACTATGAATGAATGATAACTTTATTTATACACGGTTAAAAACATCAGTCTAACATAAAAAATTAATTGGAAACTCTCAAAAACTGTTTTACATATTTGCCGTGTGGGAGTACTGATCAGAAAACAATCTATGGGAACCTAAGAAATTTAATGTACGTATTTCCTCAGGAAGATTGTTCCCTAGAAGAGCGCCACTGTAACTGAAGCTACGCTTCAGGTAATCAGTTCTTGGTTTTTGGAGCATCAATTTTTTCTTCGCGTTGCGAAGATAGTAATTCGGTGTTCTTGGGGCAAACAAATTACAGAGATAAGCTGGGGCGAGATTATTAATGCACTTGTACATTAAATTAGCCTTTTGTTTAGTCCTTCTAACCGATAAATTGTCCCAACCAAGCGAGTTAAGAAGAAATCTGGAACTAGTATCATAGCTAGATTTGGTGATAACTCTGATAGCACGATTTTGAGGTTTTTGAAGTGTCTCACTAAGCTGTTGGGTCAAGCCATCCCATACAGCACTGCAATAATCGAAGTGTGGCTCGATAAGACCTTTGTATATTTTAATTGCAATGTGCATTGAAACAAATGGCCTGACCCTCTTAAGAGCACCTATACCAGAGGATACTTCATTAGAGATTTCATGAATGTGGCCCTTCCACTAGAGATTTTCATCAATGATAAGCTATCCACTGTTTTAGTATAAAAATATAGTGAAACAGGATATTGCCAATTCGATGCATACCCCTGCTTTAAGTCAGTTTCACAATCTGTTTTTAGCCAGTGGTGCCATTTTTTTGGTAGCTAGAAATAATGTCCGGTTCAAAATGGGGCCGCGTCTTCTAAACCTGTGCCAAAATGGTACCGTAATAGGATAAAAACTTATAGCGCCCTAGAACAGTCTACCGTTTCATGCAATGAATTACTTTGCGAAGTCTAAACACTGATCAAGAGATTTTTTTCTGTGGAATCAAGTTTAGCAACGGCGTACGAAATCACCTATTAACAGTTCACAGCGATTGTGTGATGGGTAGGGAAAAGGTATTTAATTTACCTTTACAGGTTCGTCCATCCCCTGTATAACCGCTATTACAGATGCAAGTGTACGATCCACCTGTATTATAACAGGTTGCACTGCTGTCACACTGATGACCTGAAGAACACTCGTCGATATCTGAAAAAAAAAAACAAACAAACAAATAACCAAACAAAAAACATAAAAAACACTATTTTTAACAGACTTACACGGTACATAACTTGCGGTCATACCATCTCTATATCTCTAAATTGCTTTGAAAAGAAGCCTGATGGCAGTTTACAAAGCACACAATTACCAGTTTTACCCTACATGTACATTCGTGCCTTGAGACAAGAAAGGATAAAGGGGACAGAGAAGGCATCCCCCATACAAACCCTATTCCATAGGTAATTCGTCTCGAGTTATGTTTAGAATGGAGATAAAGTTACCTCGCGCGCTGCGTGGATGTTTCGTGGAGGTTTCGCATGACTAAACGCCGTGCAAAACATGTCGGGCGAAAGGCAATGAAAGCGTAAAGAGATCGAGAGCATTCCTGAATATTGACGCGAAATGAGTCGGCGCTCACCTGGGAAAAGGAAATCGCTAGACTCTTTGACAACCCGTGAAATCAGTTTAACTCGAAGTTGTCGTAACCTCAGTGCTTTAATAAAATGGGAAATTTCGCCGGTCTATTGAAACCGGTCGTTTTTACAAAGCAAGTAGGACGCCAAGTGTTATTTTTGTTGAAAATAGAAGACTAATAAAAGAATGAATATCAAACCAGAAATTGCTCCCTTCAAACTGTAAATTATAGATGATCCTGAGAGAATATTCAGTGTGTTAAGGATTTCCCTGCTGTACTGTTAGCTCTATACAAGAGAGGAAGGAGGATTTTTACCCGGCCTTCCTTTCAGGAAAAGACGGGTATAGTTCTGGGCTTGCTTTTTCCTTCGTCGTCGAATCGCCCTCTAGTCTTTAAAGCGCATGCCTGTACTGGCGGATTATCACGTGATCGATTTCCGGCAAATTCATTGGCTTAGAGGCAAAATCACCTTGAGATGTTGTCGAGAACAAAAGGCAGTTTTTTTGTCGGTCCGGAGCGTTAACGTTGTGGTTTTGTTGCCTCTATGAGAGATCGACAATTATTTTGGTCGAAATGTTTAGTGATATGTGTTGTCTAGAGGATAATGTATCCTCAGGAACTGTCAGACAAACACAGTGGCTCGATTCGTTTAATCGAGATCGGCGTTGCGATCGGCGCTGGTTGCGAGAAGAAGACATGCTAAAGTGGCAGTAAATTACCGTTTCGGTGCATTAATTTTCGTTCATCAAAACAAACAAATCTGACTGTTCATCGCAGAAGTTTGTGGTTGGTCCAAGTCTCGTGCTGCCCGGCGGTATAAAAACGGAAACTTACTATATCGATGGAAAGAAATATTCTTTGACTTTTTTTGGCATGTATGCCATATAATGGATTAACTTGTATCGAGCTCGCACGGAAGCGGCAGGTTTGTAAAGCACGTAGAGTTGTTTGATACTAAAATTGGACATGATTTACTGTGTAATAACATCTCACTGTTAAATTAACTCAAAGATTACATGTAAGCTTAAAGCTTTTTGAAAAATGGGCGATTGCTTACTATCGAATTTCGATCTTGCAAAACTCCATTTTGATCGATCCAACATTATTAGAAATTTCAAAGTTATCTATGCTAGAAATTTTTCTCTTTGCCGTGTTCAGCTACTATACATTCAAACTTGCAATTAAAAGGATCGACAAATCGATTGTAATATTCTGTATTTTAAGTTGGTTTTGGGATTATCCTCAACGAGGCACATAAGGGTGTAGGTTTGGGTTTTCTGTGGTTACTTCTTTGCTTGTTGTTGAATCAATAACAAGGCAATAAAATATTGACATATCCTTTATTTATTTACTTTTTTTTTCAGAGAAGATGAACTTGATCCCAAATCAAACGATAAGTGCAGCAACACTTTTCGAAGATTTCTGATGATGAATTAACTAAAAGAAGATGCCGGTAGTTTGTCTTTGAAGCACCTGTATCAGAGTGACAATAATATGAATAAAGGTCTTACTCACGCGAAGATCTGGGTTTTTTACTCCTTTGTAGTAATCTAGCACGTACAATAAACACTTCAGCAACCAGAACAAATTTAAAATCCTGGCATAATTATTCCAACCATTTTGTTCTCTTCCTTTTCATATAGGGTGTTATTTCAAAGATTTTTCCCTCAAAATATTAGTTTACTACCGAAGATTGTGACTGAAGCTCATGCTAATTTGAAGAAAAAGAAAACTAGCTGCAACACTACTTTGAAGCATTATGCAGCCATGGTCAAGTACACCCCTTTGGAACGTTCGAGTATAATTTCCTGTCTGATTTGCTAGCCGGTAGTATTTTGTTTCCATTTATTCATCATCAATCCATCATCAAAGTTCATATGAGTTGTGGTTCATTACTGCATAGTGCACATTTTCCCCCGGCGTACTATCATTTTATGAACTAAAGGAAGGCCGGGTTCACGCACTCGTGCGTCTTGTTTTTTCTTAATTTCGTTTTCGTCGACAAAACGAAAAGCAATATCGCTCTCCGCGTCTTCCGCCATTATGTTCTGCGTCAATTCGTGAAGGACGCGTGGCTCTGAGCGTGGGTCATCCACGCGGAACACATTCGCGCTATGTGATTGGCTGTCGTCTAATCCCCCTTGGGATCTGTGGTCTTAAAAATAACTCGAGACGAATTACCTATGTAATAGGGTGTGTATGGGGGATGCCTTCTCTGCCCCCTTTATCCTCTTTTTCCTTGAGATTAATATTTTTCATAGGAAAATTCACCTCGTGACTAGGGTTCTACGTGAAATTTCACGCGAAATCTAATACCGCGATGAGTGCGATATCGGTTTTTCAAATTTAACCAGGAATTCTTGAGTGAGATGGTGAATTTTCCTCGAATCGCATAACTTTTTTATGAACCAAGAAAAAAAAAATTCTTTCAGCTAATTTTTTGCCTCACACAAGCAATCATTGACCCACTTTAAACCGACTAGAGCGAGTACGAACCGAGCTAAAAAATAATTCACATAGATTTTTTAATGCGTAAATGAATCAGTGAAGTAGTATTCATGATCGGTAGCATAATTTGCGTTGTCGATGTTTTATAGACTTCTCAAAGAAGGCACCAGGCCCCAGTGGGATAGCACTATCCATCGGATAAATCACTATCCAACGGATAAGTATTAGGGAAACCAATTGCGCTATAGGCGAATCTTTGTTTACACTTTTTGCCTCATTAACATATGCTAATCACTATCTGATGACGCTGATAAAATAAAAACTCTGAATATTGAAAGGACATAACAGTTTTAGTTCTCTCTGAAAATTTGAGCCCAATACACCGAATGGTTTCGGAGAAATTCTCTTCTAAACTCGAAATTTTACAGAGAATGTATGGCTCATTTAACTTTTTTGCCACACAGTAATTTCGCAGTTTTTGATGGCTGATATTTCCTTAAACGGGCTGAAAATTGCACAAATTGCTCAACTTAATCAGCTCTTTCAATTTTGGCATTTAGTTCATATATACAACCACGGCTTCTATAAGTTAAGTCGTATGCTAATGAGGAAAAAGGTTAACAATGACGTCAGAAAGATTAGCCTATACGCTGGATAGAACTTTATTCAGTGGATAGTGTTATCCGTCTCTTGAACAACTGATGCCTAAAGACATGGATTTTCCCTCGACTTTGCACGCTGCCCCGAAACTAAAGAAAGCGAAAGAAAAACAAAACAAAAATTATTCGGTATTTTACGAGACAGCCCAAAAGGAATTTAGAGATTAGCAAACTGCTGACATATTGACGTCCAGTTAATCTGAGCCTGAGTAAAAGAAAACGGGTTATGTCTGCAAGATTGTTTGGCAAGGCCAGGTTGTTCACAACACTTCATGTTTAAAGTTAATCCTGAAAGGCCGCTGCCACAATTTTCAAATTATCCTCCGGGCTGTTTTTTGCACTGACTACATTGTTCTTCATGCACTTAATTATCGCTATTATCATCAGCAATTGTCGATGCAAATCGGCTTGCAAGAATCGAGAATGAACAGCGACGAGATTCTTTGGCTTCGCAGGCTTTAACTGATGGACTTTTTGATTTATTTCGAAGAACGTTCTCAGATTTTTACTTCTGCTAAAGGAAAGCTGTTTACTTTTCTATTCGTGTAAAAATTTGTTCACTGATGAAATTGACAACTTTTCGCGATGTTCTTTGGCCATTCCCCTGGCCGGATTGGACTTTATTCAAATGATGCAAAGTACGCAGGTTCCAGAGTTGTTTGGTAAGCTTCGGACGGGTGCAATGTCGGTCA